CAAACATCTATATTTTGTGGTATACTGATTTAATTTCATCCTTCCAAAATGACAGGCTCTAGTCCCTGTTTAGTCTTTTCCATAGTGGAGAGAGCATTTACTTCTCTGGGTTTCTCTCTTTCTCCCCACATAGGTGATAGGGTAGATTAGTTTGCTAATCACAGTCTAGCACAGAGGGATTTACTGTAGCCTAATGTCTCCTATTTTGCATAAATCTAGGCAGAATGGGTAGCTCTGCAATCACAGAAGCAATTCTTTTGTAGTTGGAAAATAAAACTGGGATTAGTACATCATTATTATTTTATATGCTGTCTTATACATGAAATTTTAAGCACACTTTTCTCCTTTTCTTCAGTTTATACACAAGGACTCTTTTCCTGAAACACAGGCCAAAGGTGAAGGTAAGCGAGCAGTATTTTGTGTCCATTAATGCACTGCAGCATTTGCACATCTTGTGCTTCGAACTTGCATTGGGGCTCACTGATTATGCCTGTTAGGGTATTATCTTTGATTTCTACTTACATCCCAAGAAATGCGGTTGAAATGATGGTTAACAGTGTTTGGTTTCTGTTCCAAGCGACGTAATATTCCAAGAATTCTTTCCCCTCTTCCTATTTTTCTTTTAACAGTTTGTTTTTGGAATATGGCCTGTTCTTCTTGTGGAGCCGCCCAAGAAGCTTTGACTGAGACCTAGGCAGTCACATGCGATCACCTAGCCTGGCTGAATAAAGCGATTCAACAGTTACTATGGCTGAAGTGTCAAAATTATGGATCAATTCAAGTACCGTTGCTATAAAAGGACTTCTCTGTGTTACCAGGCCAGCCAGCTGGAACAGAGCAAAGAGTTGGCACACTGGGGAAATAATGTTTAGTACAGCTTTATTCTAAGTTGTTAAAACAAAGATTAAGACACAATATTTTTATGTATATATTGTATAGCTGATGATACTGAGCTAATATTTCGTGCTGGTCACAGAAAACTAACCATTTTTGAAGTGGGTTGCATACATTTTTCATTCAGTTGTTGTTCTTTTTGTGGTTTAAACTAATATTAGTAACTGAATGACAAAAACAGGCCATTGATGGCCAAGCTAAGCATTTGTGTGGCCTATTAGTGAGCTGAATGCTTAACCTGAACTACTTTAATCTTGCACTTTTATACAATTAATGAAGTATGTAATGATTGATTTAGGGCTTTATTCTATCCTGCTTTTCCACAGCCTCCTTTGCAATTTATATTTTAAGCAAAACGGTTGGCATATCCGTGCCATTTAGTTCATTTTGTACCAAGCTTCCGTTTTCTCTTTAGTCCAGCTGAGGTGCATCGTGGAGGATGTTCCAGGATGTGACCGGCAGAAGACACTTAAGATGGTGAAGCATTATAGGGGTGCTTGTTTGTGTGTGGAAACTGAATTCCTAATTTGTTTGACCAGTGACCCATCAGTGACTGCAGGATGACTGTATAAACACAAGAAACACTTTTTTTTTCTTTTTTATAATTATTATTTACATGCCTCCCTTTTCTATACCTACTTTTTACTTCCCGTGTCCCATTCATACTACAGATTGACAAACACCTTAGATGTGTG